AAAGATTTATGTCCAGATGTTTATTGGGGTGTTGTTTATTAGAGAAAATCATGGGAAGCTTCTTAACTATCCAATCTTAGGAATATAATGAAATAAAACATAGAATATCCAAATGGTTGAATATTATGCAGCTACTAAAATGACATTTCAAAGTATTTTTAAAGACTTAGAGAAATATTTGCTATATAATATTGAGTGGGGGGGAAAGTAACACATGTAACACACAAACACACACACACACAACAGCCCAGCCAGTAGTTGAGCGTTGACCTATGAACCAGGAGGTCATGGTTTGTTTCCCAGTCAGGGCACATGCCTGGGTAGTGGGCTCGAGCCCTTGTAGGGGACATGCAGGAGGCAGCTGATGGATGATTCTCTCTCATCATTGATGTTTCTATCTCTCTTCCCTGCTCCCTTCCTCTCTGAAATCAATAAACACGTTGCATTAAACAACATATAGAACAGATAGCAAGTCTATATTTAAGTATACATACACATGCATAAATAAGTAAGCATAAAGAGAAGAGGAAGAGGAAGAGGAAAAATACCAACACATCAACAGCATTTATCTCTTGTGATTATAATACATATGAGTTATTTTCTCCTTTTTTTTTCTTCTGCTCATGTTTATATTCCAAATTTTGCAGTTAATATTCATCGCTGAGAGCATTATGCTAAGTGAAATAAGCCAGTCAATGAAGGAAAAATACCACATGATCTCACTCATTCAGGGATAATAAAGACCATTATAAACTTTTGAACAATAATAGATACAGAGGCAGAGCTGCCTCAAACTGATTGTCAAACTGCAGTAGGAAGGCAAGGGAGGGTTGGGGGGCAGGAGGGAGGGGGGTAAGAGATCAACCGAAGGACTTGTATGCGTACATATAAACATAACCAATGGACATAAGACACTGGGGGGTAGGAGAGGCCAGGGGATTGTCAAGGGCAGGGGGAAAAAAGGACACGTATGTAATACCCTTTGTAATACTTTAAGCAATAAAACAATAAAAAAATATTCATCACTAATGTAGTTGGGAGAGAAAAGAAACATGATAAAAACTAAATTAAAAAGCAGGTGTGTAAATGAAATTACGCTTAAAGCAGAATTTGTAAGAGTAAGTAGAACACAGCTGAGGGCAGCAGGAGCTGCAGCAGGAGCAAGGCCGGGCAGCATCTCACAGATGCTTCCTCCGGACAGATGCTCGAAGTGAAGCCAAACCAAAACGCAGGGACTGGACGGACCAGCCGCTGTATTTACAAAGCAAGTTTGTAGCTCATCTGCAGTTGTGCTGGGATGATCTATTAAATCCAAGCAAAAATGTGCTCGTTTATTCTACTCTGTTTACTGAAAACCATTAAGAGGCAAATAGCTCCAATTTTTCACTGAAGCTTTTTCGTGCTTGGGGTAGAGAAAGGGCTATTTTGTGTGGCATTGACTGGGCTACAGAAACCCCAGGTTTGGCAGCATGAGGCTCTCTCTGTGCAGGGTTAGCCGGCAGTAACACCACAGTTCAACACTGAGATGGGAAAGGGTGAGGCGGGAAACCCGTAGTCTCCCTAAAACTGTGGGCAGGGAAAATTTCCCCAATTTTTGATGCCCTCAAATGGCTTCAATTAACTGAAGTAAACATTTCTATATAAGAAAGGAATGCACTCTTGGTTGAGCTAGTACCTAAAAGCAATGTCGAGTACTTTAAGCCCTCTCACTATGTCGCCATTTAATTAAGTTAATTAGAAATCAGCCTGCAGGTAAGACTTTGGCCTAAATATGTCACAACAAACTGAGATCCTAAGATCCGTGACACGCTGAAGGTCTCTCAAAGCCTTAGTGTCACAGAGCGAGGTCACACGACCCGGGCCGACCAGCCAGGGTCTTGCTCAGGATTGACTGGGACCTTGACCTCTGTGACCTTGAGCAAAGGTGCCCCTCGCCACCTCCCTCTCCCCCTGTGACGGGCAGAGAGCGGACTTTCCATTCTGCACTGGCACCGTCCCACACATCACCACCTTCTGTGGCCTTTTTCCAGCAGAAACAGGTTTCTGCCCTCGCGAGCATCCACTTCTGGGAGGCACTGCCTTCCCGCCCTGCATTCGCAGGAGCCCTGAGGCAGCCAGCAGCCGCGTGTCAGCGAGCACAGCCACGGAATCCAACCCAACCACTCCTCCGCCCGAAAACAGAGACTCCGCCACCGTCATGAAGGAAAAAGCCGGCTGATCTGTAAAAGCGTCCGAACCAGCCGCCAGCCCTGCAGAGGAGTGTGAAGATGGAGGAGGAGGAGTTCTATTTCCTCCTCACCGCTGGCAAGCCAGCCTGGTGGTTTTTCTGAGGAACGGAGACCATTTCATCTACTTCCCACTTGTCTCATGGCCCAGTTCCCTTCCACGTTACTAGGTTATCTCACTATCCCCAGTCACCTCCGTTTCCTCACCGACACGTGTGTTTATCACTCAAACTCCATAAAGAAAGGTCCCGGTGTCAGATATGTCACCACCACCAGGATTTCATTCAAAGGACCCAAAACCAACCCAGAGAGTCTGATTTTCGCTCAGGTTGCCTAGCTCCCGAACTGGGTCTGAAAAGGGAATCTGTTAGTGCTCTTTTCCTTCTGAATATTTTTTTTATTGATTTCAGAGAGGAAGGGAGAGGGAGAGGGAGAGATAGAAACATCAGTGATGAGAAAGAATCATTGATGGGCTGCCTCTTGCACGTCCCACACTGGGGACTGAGCCCGAAACCCAGGCATGTGCCCTGGCCAGGAATCGAACCGTGATCTCCTGGTTCCTAGGTCGATGCTCAACCTCTGAGCCACACCAGCCGGACTTAGTGCTCTTTAATATAGAAAATATTGGCTTCACCACAGCCCACCCAAGTGCTTCTGCTAGAGAAAGGCTGTTATTTGCTTGGATGACATAACGGACTCTCCTGGAGCGAGGCAGCAAAAACAGTGCCCTCGCCTCTGTATCCGAAAGCCACTTGAAGCTGTTGTGTCAAACCACCGAGAAATTAGGCAACGGGAAAGTGGCCGGGGAACGCGTCCAGGAGAGGCTATTCTCCACGCTGGGGCAGAGCAGCTCTGGTTCTGAATCTGTCATCCAGGCTTCCTCATGAGGGCACCCATGAGGTCTGTAGCCCTTCAGGTAATAGAAGTGCGAGAGCTATTCAACCACCGCGGGGCCCGGGTTTCTCATCTGCTAATGAGCGGTTGGGTGGCGTGTGTTTTGTTGTGGGGCGTGGGGGCGGGGGGTTGTTTTGTTTTGTTTTGGGTCCTTCCCAGATCTAAAAAGTCTCCAGTTCAGCTCAGAATACATGATTCCCACAGAGTTTCCAGGAAAACATTTCCGTAATTGTCCCCAGAGGAAAGATATTCGGCAACAAAGCCCTTCAGTTCTTGGACTAAACTGTTCCCTGTGCTTCCTACTGATAGAGGAAGACTGTCAGTAGCATGAGGGCTTAGGCTACACATAAGAAAACGTATAAGTGCAGGTAAAACACTGGAATGAGCTAGAAGGAAAGGCTAATTCTTGAGGCCAGGACACAGACAGGAGGAAAGATTTGCTTGAGATGCATTAGGGTGGGTCCCTCAATGTGGCAGAAGGATGGGAGGACCATTCTGTACACAATAGGATAAAGAGACATTGGCGTTTAAAAATAGAAAAAGACAGGCATTCGGACAGAAGGGAAGGAAAATGTTTACTGAGTGACTGTTCTCCAGCACCCTGTCCCCTCCCAGGTCCCCAGAGCAGGCATCTCTGCCCCATGGTAGAGGAGCCGCGAGCCCATCCTCCCTCCCTTCTCCAGGAATGTCCCCAGTGCAAACGGACACACTGTCCATCCACCACCTGCTCTGAGCTTAGCTCTGCTATTCGCCTTGACCTTGCACACACTGGCCAGGGCATTCTAGAGCAGCAGTCACCAACCTTTCGGACCTCAAGGACCACCAGTGGTCCACGGACCACCGGTTGGCGACCGCTGTTCTAGAGCCAACGTGGACTGTTTACCTAGGTTTTCCCCTCTCCACCACATGGTCAAGCCGATCACTTTCTATTGCTCCCCAACCAATAACCAAGTTCAATGGCCACTTCTCCACGAAGCCATCTGTGACCCACCCCACAGGCCACTCCGGCCCCCACAGCTGTCTCATGCTGAAGGAAACCTGCCCTTCTGGGGCTTTAGAAAGGAATGGCAAGAAGCTAAATATTAGATATCAAGAGGGAGAGAGAGATAAAGGGTTTCCTGAAGCCCCTTTCGACTGCCCACAATATGACATCACTGGTGCTTCTACTAGTTTGAGGGGGATTTCTGCCACTGCACCTAACAAAACCCTGACTAATATATCAATTCACAGTACACATTGATGAATATAAAATACTCATCCTATATCATAAAGAGCTAAAATGCTAATGGTCATGATGCCCTCACACCATAACAACCACTCAGCAGGAGGCTACATGCGCGTGCTCAGCAGGGCAGAAGCGGGGAGGCACCCGGAGGCAGGACCAGCCCAAGGCAACTTGCAGGACTGAGGGCGGGGCTTGAAGTGGCCAGAGAAGGCCGGAGGGGCCAGGGGCGGGCCAGGCACACTCGAACTCTGGGTGGAGAGGTTAAGGTTCGGGCAGGAGGGCGGGGCCACACGATTTCGTGCACCGGGTCACTAGTTTAAAAAATGAGAGCTGTTTGAAAAACCGTGAATAAAGCCACATGTTCTGGCACCGTGAAAGCAAATGGGATCCTGACTAAGATTCTTGAGAATAATCAGGGTCCAGAGAGACCAGGAGATAATTAGCCAAATGGATCATGTAGAGCAAATCACCGAAACGGACTCTCTGCTGTTGTGTTGGTCGCAGGAGAAAACAGAGCCGCACAGGAAGCTGCATCTCATCCCCCTGAGGGAGGAAGAAATCAGAGCCGCCAGGCAGACGGGAGGGAAGGGCCTGAGAGAATACGGAGGAAGCGGAGAGGCGGCGAGTGCCTGGCGAAGAGTCCCTTCATTGTCACAGCTCTTCCTATCGTCCTTACACAGAGACATCACTTACTAGAAGCGTAACGAAGGAATATCCCAGCGTCACTTCTTTCCATGTCGCTAGGAAAGTCTGCACAGCAGAAAAGTACTTTGAAATCGATCCAGAAAACTTACATAAGAATGAAAGTATACAATATTTGTAAATGGAGAAAAAAAAAGTAGTCACCGTATAATCCTTTTGAATAGCAGGTCCAATTCCCTCGAGGCTTTTATTTCTTCTCATTTACCACATTATTTAAATTTGAATAACACTATATGTCCACTTTTTTTTCCAGGATTAAATTTCTGTCATTTATAGGATTAGATATTTGGTTATATAACCTATGGTGTTATGCTCCGACAGGGAGTTAGATTAGCTACTGTTATGTTCCTGGTACCATGTTTGTTAGCCTAGAAAATGGGTTCTCTAATATAATGGGTCTCTCTTATTTCTCAGTCTTTTTCTCCACCCTCCAAAGTACTGTCAATGTGCTTTCTGAGATGAGGAATATGCCCTCAAGAGAGAAATGTGACAGAGAATTGCTCTAGGCCAGTAGTCAGCAAACGCATTAGTCAACAGAGTGAAATATCAACAGTACTTCTTAAAATAGACTCGCCCAGGCCGAAAACCGACTTCTGCGCATGGGCCACGAGGTTTCAATCGCACTGTATGCGCACGCCCACACGTGGTATTTTGTGGAAGAGCCACACTCCAGGGGCCACAGAGTCGCATGTGGCTCATGAGCCAGTTTGCCGACCACGGCTCTAGGTGGACACCGGCACTTTGTTTGGTGGCCGGACTCAATCACAAATGCCCTGCACTTTGGCTGGGAGGCCCCACAACCCAAAGGTGGAGGCCTCTATTCATTGCTGTGCGGGCTGATTCTCCATCTGGGGAAAAAGAAAGGAAGGATTGTAAGCACAGCTCCCAGCTAAAGTGCTTCGTTTGCCCAGAGCAATCAGTCTCAGAAACATCTTGCCTTAGAAATTGACTTACTGTGAATCGCATTAAACCCTCTTCGACATTCAAGAGCCTTTATTAAACGGGCACGCAGATTCCACTTCATTTAGAAACGATCTTTTACATTTGAGACATATTATGTGACGTGAACGTTATTTTTTTTTAATTCTCCTAAATTCACATAATTTGAATTATTGTAAAATATTACTGCTAGATAAGGAAACCTTTCTTAACATAATTGTTTGGTTTTGCTTTGGCTAGCAGGCCTGACATACTCCAGTGTCAGCCTCTACTCCCAAGGACAGTCACGGCTACCGAGGCAAGCCTAACTCTGCCCCCACCTCTCGCCCCTCCAGGGAGAAATTCCCGAGGGCAGACACTGCCGAATGAGGGAGAAAACCCCTGCCCCAGCGCCATCTTCTCCCGGTGCTGTTTTCAGATTTTCATTCTTGTAAACGTGGCATTTACATCGACTTGTTTGTGCTTTCACTTATTACTTATACAGTAAGTAAGTTGCAAATGCCAACAATATTTTTTAAAGCTTGATAAATGAATAAATACATGAGCCCACAAATGGGTGAGCAATCCCCCAAAAAACAGTAGATGCACTTCCATTTGTGTTGTAAAATGCATTTAGGAAAAGAATATTCTATCCATGCTGATGAAATGTGGGCTTCTCAGGTGTTCATTTCAACTAAAAAAAAAAAAAAAGGATCTTGGTCGCTAAGACTGTTCCCCGAGCGTATCTATTCTAGAGGCGAATCAAGCCCCAGGTTCCCTCAGAAAGGGAACAAGAACACCATCCCACATTACCGTTCCTCTGATGGAAGTGGCTCCCAGGGCTTATGTTGACCATAGGTTGAAGGTACTTAGAAAGAAAAAAATTAAATGGGCCTTTTTGTTTTCTTCATTATGCTTTTCTGTGCTTAGAATCTAACACCGTACACTTTTTTAAAGCCTCAAAGAACTTTTAAATACAAATCCAACTTTCTTTCCCTTTTCAGAGAAGAGTCCAGGGCTAGCCATGAGCGGCCACACTGATGGTTTCCAAAGTGCCTCCTACCTAAGTCCATCTGCTCCGACCTGGTGCAGCATGACATCACCGACTACCCCCTCTTCTCACGGTTACCTACCGATCACAGCCCCAAATTCAAAACAAATGTGAAGTTTACCACATTTGGATATAGTTGGTGATTTCCTGCCCGGAAGAAACACCAGTTTGGAATCTCCTAGATTCTTCTGACACAAAGAGGATCCTACAGCCGAAGCGTGTGTGAGTGTGTGTGTGTGTGTGTCTGTGTGTGTGTGTGTGTGGTGGGGAGGGAGAGAGGGAAGGTGACCTTGGGCTTGGATTTACTGTGACCGAGTAAGTGTTGGATGACAGCTGCCTCTGGGGAGCTGAGGGACCAGATTTGAACAAAGTACGCATGAGGAGACTTGGACATGAAATTTTATGCACACCTATTAAATTTTCTTTTTACATCCGATGTAAACTAGAAAGTAATCCTTGTAGGGTTCATCCTTTGAAATTGAGTGAATAAAATAATATTCAATTAATTGTATGTTTTTCACTGCATTACATTTAAAAGTAAAACTGGTTTGGGGGAATTTGATTCCCAAGGAAGAGGTCATTTCCTTTCCCAAGGACTGAAATTTTTACCCCCCCCCCAAAACAGACCTAATCATTTGGCATTTATAAAAACGTGATTTTCTAAGGTAAAGATACAAATTATGAACAACAAATACACATCTATCAACAAGTGAATCTGAAAATCAAGTGAATAATCTGATGAACAGAATGAACTGGTGATTATAATAGAATCAGGGACATAGAAAGGGAATGGACTGACTATTCTTGGGGGGGAAAGGGGTGTGGAGATGCGGGACGAAACTGGACAAAAATCGTGCACCTATGGATGAGGACAGTGGGTGGGGAGTGAGGGAGGAGGGTGGGGTGGGAACTGGGTGGAGGGGAGTTATGGGGGGTAAAAAGAGGAACAAATGTAATAATCTGAACAATAAAGATTTAATTAATCAAAAAAAAGAAGAAAAAACAGTAAAAAAAATAAAAATGTGATTTTCTGTGCTTGGACTTAAAAGGTGGTGTGGGTTAGAAATGACTGTACTTAACCTTAAAAATACTTTGCTAACATTCTCTTTCCAGGACTATGAACAAATTCTCTCAGCATAAATTTCTAAGGAAAAACACTCCCACTTGCCCAAAAAGTAACAATTCCTGCTCTCTGGCTTCACTGAACTCTCTAACTCTCTCCCATCTGCAGTATCTCACAGAAGGCAACTTGCACGGCTGCCCCTGGAGAACTGTCTTGCAGGTCAATGGCATGGCTTCAGTAATTCTTCCATAACGTTTCTCTGTTTTTCCAGGACAAAATGATCAGTGTTCTTCATTACAGTGAACCCATTTACAAGCTGCTGTGCAGTTTATAAATCCCTTGGTAAGAAACCAACTGTGTATATTTTTAAATAGATTGCCGGAGCAAGAGGGAACTTTAGAGTCGCTCTAACCAGGCTACACATTGGAATGCCCTGGAGAGCCTTTAAAAATACTGATGTCAGGTCCTACCCCAGACCCGTTAAATCAGAATTTCTACCCGTGGGGCCCAGGCATCTGCATTTTCATTAGGTCGCCCACTGGTTCAATGCATAGTAAGGGTTGGATACCCCAGATTTGGTCCAACCACCTCATTCTACAGGGAAGGGCGCTGTGGCCCAGAGCTGTTCTTTATTCATATACTAGAGGCCCGGTGCACGAAGAGATTCGTGCAATAGGCCTTCCTTCCCTGGCTGCCGGCACCGGTTTTCCTTTGGCACCCGGGACCCAGGCCTTCGCTCTGACCGCAGCAGAGAAGCCAAGCCTCTTCAGTCTTCAGTCGTCTTCAGTCTTCGCTCAGGCCAGAGCCTTCAGTCTTTGCTCAACGCCTGCATATGCAAATTAACCGCCATCTTTGTTGGGTTAATTTGCATGCTCATCCTGATTGGCTCGTGGGCGTAGCAGAGTGACACCAATTTGCAAGTTTCTCTTATTAGTGTAGACTTTTATTGATTTCAGAGAGGGAGTGGGGGAGAGAAAGAAATATCAATGATGAGAGAGAATCGTTGATTAGCTGCCTCCTGCACACCCCACACTGGGGATTGGGCATGTGCCCTGACCGGGAACCGAACCCTGACCTCCTGGTTCATAGGTCAACGCTCAACCACTGAGCCATGCCATCCAGGCTGCGTGACAGTTCTGAAGTCACTTAGCTAATGAGTCACTGAGCTGGGGTTAGAGCCCACATCTGCAGATTCTTTCTTCTGTATTACGCTACCTCCTCTCATAGCTGCATGTCTCCTTATGGAATTAGATGTCAGAACTGGATTCTAAAAAGGGACCGCAGTTTGGACCCGCTTCCCTGGGAGCTACAGAAAGCAGCTCCGCGGGGGTCGGCCCCACGCTGCCTCCTTGGCCAGCGGTTCACTGCTGTTATGACAACTACATCCCCTGTGAGGTGAAAACCACCCCTCCTGACACCTTCCCCGAGAACAGCAGCCGCGTTCTCCATCTACATGAACGCGTTGCTTTATTGCTTCCACCAAACCCTGTCCTCTGATGCTTCTCTATAAAAGAGATAATAACAACCCCCCTTTAAGAACTTCATTCGGTGGTAAATTGAATTTCTGGCGTAGGGATGAGCTAAGAGCTTTCATATAAAGAAATGGCCGCAGGGCAACTTCTAAAAGAAATCATTTGCTGACAGGAGGTCTGGAGTTCTGCTTTCGGGGAGAGCTGCACGGGGGGCCTCAGACACAGGAGGAGCTGGAAATGAGCCCGGCCCCTCGAGTGTGGGCGACGCTGGCCCCTTCTGAAGGTTCTGGAAAGGGATAAGCACTGTAACCCGCCCCCCCACCCCGCCCCAGGCGTTAGCCAACACCTCCCCATGCACAACCTAAGGTGTGAGAACTGCTGGCAGGCCTGGTCCCCGTGACCCCATGTATACACATCCCAATCCTGCTAACCTATGAAAAGCAACCACGACAGTGTTTTTGTTGTAATAAAAGGTAATCCCCTGAGGCTGAAAGAAAAGACGGAGGGCTTGTGAAAGGAGGTGCCAAAATCACAGCAGAGTTGAAGCAGAACCGGCCCAGGAGCCAAATACCTCAATCCAGCCCCCTCCCGACATCGACATGCACTGGTCACATACGCTGGGGCAGGTCCATTGCTCTTGGGGCAGGTCCATTGCTCAGGGCTTCATTTTCCTCATGGGGAAAGCTGGGATAACATCTGTCCTGACTGCCTCATGGGTTGGTTTTTGAAAACCAAACAGATAGATAATTTACATAAAAACATCCTTATAAAACTGCACATAAATGCAGGCACCACTAGAAAGAACAAAAGATTAAAAGAGACTTATATCACAAGATAAAAAGTTAAGACATTCAGGTACTAAATTTCTAAAACAAAGATTTGACTAAAGAATGAGTTACCCATATAATGTCATGATGAATCACCATGACTGTGGAGTCAGACAGACTTGGAGTCAAATCTTGGCTCTGTCTGCCCAGCCGGTGTGGCTCAGCAGCTAAGTGTCGACCCAGGAACCAAGAGGCCACCAGTCTGATTCCCAGTCACCGGGGCTCGGTCCCCAGTAGGAGGCGTGCAGGAGGCAACTGATCGATGATGTTTCTCTCTCATCGATGTTTCTATCTCTCCCTCTCTTCCCCTCTTTCTAAAAATCAATAAAAAACATATTTTAAAAAATCTTAGCTCTGTTAATTTACCGTTCATAGCATCGATGTCCTCACCCATTCAGTGAGGACTATGTAGCAGGTCCTCTTGGAGGTTTGGCATGGTTAACATGAGATAATCATGGAAAGAGCTTAGCTCAGTGGCTGGCACATGGTAAGTGCTCAAAACAAATGTTAGTTCTTGGTCACTAGTGTAACCCTAGTTATTGTTACTGTCATGTTTCCCCCACAGCACAGAGCACAGGTGGGTAGGGACCAGGTATGTAAAGAGATGGCACCTTGGAAGCTTTCAATACCAGATGGTCAACATTTACTCTACAAGTAACCAGCTTTCCCTTTTGACAACCAGAAACACTGCCGAAGGCCACACGTGCAACTCTACACTTTCTTGTTGACCTGATCCGATTCTTTGCAGGCTTTGAGTAATGTCTGGTAAACTGGGAAGGATCTAGGTCAGCAGTCACCAACCGGTGGTCCACAGACCACTAGTGGTCCGTGAGATCCGGAAGGTTGGCGACCACTGGTCTAGATAACCACCCTCACATTCCAGCCACAGCTGCATCGCCATCTTCTCAGGCTCCAGATGTTAAGTGTGGTTTTCAAGGTGTTGAGGTGGTTTTCAAGGTTTTCAAGGTTGAAGCATCCCCTACGTATCAGGTCCATGTTCTACAGCAAGTCGATCCTATAGCTAAATCAGGGTGTCTGGCAGGTATCCAGCCAATTGCTAGAATTATCAGACACGATAAGCAAAGAAAGCAAACAAAAAGGCAAGAGCTACTTGAAGAGAAGTTACATGAAGTGTGCAGCTGTGTTCTAGAAATCTCTGCAACTGGCAATTTGTGCCACTGATCCTACCAATGCTTTCATTCGAATGAAGAAAAACGAGGAAATCACAAAAAGTTAAGGCAAAAAACATTCACTTAGCCCGGCCTAAGTATGATTCTCTCTCATCGTTGATGTTTCTGTCTCTCTCTCCCTCTCCCTTCCTTTCTGAAATCAATAAAAAATGTATTTTTTAAAAGTAAATAAAATTTAGAGACCTGGCTCCATCTGATTCCTGACGCTGTCACTTACCAGCTCTATGACCTGATTTATGTTACTAATTTTCTCTGGGGCCAGTGCCGCCTGAGTTCAGCAGAACCAATGCTGCCTGACCTCCTCCACCCTTTGCTCTTAGAAGGCTCAAGTGGGATAAAATATGCAAAAAACACTGTGTGAGGAGGGGTCATAGCTCTTCCCAGAAATGATCAAAATGCCGCTCCAGACACTGAATGTCTCTAACCAAAGTAAAACTGCTAGAAAACACAAATTTTATTCCATAAATGATATCATTAAATAACTGAGGGGCTGCACTATTTTCTTCAACCAATATCTGATGGCTTCTAAACTGACTTAACAAAGGGAATAAGCAGAAACATCTTATATTCTATTTCTTATATTCTATTTCATATCACAGTAACAATAACTCAAGTTTAACTGCACTCACCTTTGGTCAAGAGAAATAATGCAGTTAAACAATTCAAACTACACACTGCTCAACTGTTCTTTCCATTTTCTCTCATGAGACACCACAAAGCTGGAAGGACAAGGGAATGTCTATGGGCTGTTGACTATTTACTTTTTTTATAACAAAAGAATGTATGTGTCCTCAATTTTAAAAGTATCATATACTGAGTAAACCAGAAAGCCCCATCTGTCTTCACTTCCAAGAGGTAAGCAACCATCATCTGTCTGGTGTGCATCCTGCCAGACCTCTTTCTACGAAGTGACTATCCGTGCATAAACACAGAAATCTATCTCCTGTTTTGTTTTGATATATGATTGGGATCAGATTTCAAGAATTGCTCCCCAACCTGCTTTTTTGACTTTTTGGAGATTATCTCATGCCATGCATGCCTACCCACCTCATTCTTTTGAATAGCACAGGCTTTCCTGTTAGGAAAACACCCCAAGTTTCATTTAACCCTACTGGTAGGAATTTGGTGGTTGCCAATTTTCAAAACTACAAAGCTCTGCTAAACTTTTAAAGTTAAGTTGCTAGTGGACTCCATTTGATTGCCTCTCTCCAACTTTTATCCAAAACCCACTTCTCGTAAAGTTCTTTCTCATATCACTTTCTTCCCAGGGGTAAGAAGTAGAGGCTACTTTCTGAACACAGTGTGAATGCAATAGAGCTTTTTAAAAAAGAGTCAAAAGGGCCCGGCTGGCATGGCTCAGTGGTTGAGTGTTGACCTATGATCCAGGAGGTCACAGTTCCATTCCCGGTCAGAGCACACTGCCCCATTGCAGGCTCGATCCCCAGTGTGGGGTGTGTAGGAGGCAGTCGATCAATGACTCTCTCTCATCACTGATGTTTCCATTTCTCTCTCCTTCTCCCTTCCTCTCTGAAATCTATAAAAGTATTCTTTTAAAAGAAGAGAGGGTTAGCAGTCTAGATTCAACGCTAACTCTGTCAAGCTGATTCCTTACCCATTAACAGCGTTTGTCCAATCAGTGCTCTGTTTTACTTGCAGAATGGGCCTCTACCTATGGGCTTCCTGCACTGAGTTAAGCATACGAACTTCTGCCTACACACACACACACACACACACACACATACACACACACACACTCACACAGCTAAGACCAAAGAAAGATGGCATACATGTGAAAAATCTCAGCACACCAATACGCATGGTCTTGGATTCTTTCTTTTTTTTTAAGCACTAAATAAAATTACATTGCTAGAATCTTCTACAAGACCAAAACTATCTTTACTTGGGATTCCCAAATTCAAATGCTTGCTGATTGCCTACTATGTGCTAAGGGAGGCTCAAGAGCAATATAAGATCCAGTCTCTGCCTTCCAGAAGCTATAACACAGGGAGCGGAGGTTGACGTGAATAAAACCATTCACAGTGCAGAGCAGTCCACAACTAGGTGAGCAAGTAAAGGGTGGAGGCAATTAGTGTTCTAGGAGGAGTGCTCAGTGGCAGTAAATAGAGGGAAGTAACATCAAACAAGTCATTCTGAACAGGCCCCTCGGCACTGCAGTGAGGGCGTAACACAGGAGCCAAATGATGAGGGCTGTTTATGACAGGACCATAAAACAGTCATTTGACCGTAAGACACACCTGGGCAAATGAATCTAAGTGTGATTGTACATTTGGTAGAAACAGGACCAGAGGACATGGTGCTACAGTAACAACCAATGAGGTGCCTCTCAACACAGACCCCAAAGGTCCAGAATCCCCAGCCCCCACCCCTGTGTGGGCCACACCGGCTCACAGGACTTCTCGGCAATGTCTCCTTGGAGGAATCAGAAGTTACGTTTCAGCACTTCTGTCCTCCTGAAGGCTGACTGTGTGTAAATACATTCAAAACCCATCACTAAGCACCTACTGTGCCCGTGTAAAGACCAGATTAAGAAGACACACGGTCCCTACCTTGAAAGTATTCACAAGTGTGTATACAACCCACTGCAACTCAAGGGTGTCCTGAAGCCACCGCCCCGCCTGGCCAACCGTGAGCCTGCACTCATAAAAAGTAATAGCAGTGACAGGAGAGTGTATATCTCTGTAGACCAATAAGAAAAGAGGATATTATAAAATATTTCTTGTTTTAATTTGTTTCTGTAATGCTGAGGTTGGTTTGGTCTGCAGAGCCTCGTAGTTTCTTTCAACTCTATAGCTACACGTGTTGCCTGTACATCCTCATTATGGAGCCTTTAAATAAGCTGCCATTCTCTTTCCGCATTTATCAGAAAGTCTCAATCCAACCCCAAACTTCTCATCTCCCCACAATAAGTAACTAAGAAAAAAGTACAAAGGGAAAGAAAGAGAGAGAGAGAGAGAGAGA